CCCAAAAGACAGGTAGACAGAATACATGGTACTATTATTATTACTCAACACTGGAAGTGATATCCCATGTGCCTCTGAAATTTTCTTTCCTGCCTTTGACAAAAAAGTAACTCCATTAGTATATTAGCTCTAAAATCAGGAAGATGATTGGCAGCGCCTCGCTGGCGTGGGGATGATGCCTGAGAGGAAAGTTTCTGATTTGGTAATAATACAAATGAAACCAAGCCAAGTGAGTGGAACAAGCGGCCCAGGCTTTAACTGGGGTGGGGGTTCACCTGGAGGAGAAAGGGAACAGCACTACCAGGCTGGTCCCTGGACATAAGAAATGGGGCAAGCTTTCATTCTTGTGTGGGGTTGCAGGGTGGGTCATATCCTGGGAGTTTCTCCACTGGTTATGGGCGCAGTGTCAGAAGATGTTCTTTTTCTTGTGCAAACATCCTGGTTTGAAGCTGTTGCAGCTGCTGAGGGAGCAAAGTATGTGGGCGAATGAAATCCTATACGGTACTTTCAATCAATAGCAGGTAAAGGGCCCAGGAGGTTGTTTGACCTCTGTCCTTTTGCGGGGCTCCCAACAGTTTCATTCTCACATCTAATCTATTCTTGGAGACATTGTGGCAAAGGCACCCTGGCTTTTATGAGGCACCTTGTCTCTGTGGTCAATAGATTGCTTGGGAGAATGGGTAGGGTAGGGGAAACCCATATAATACTTTCAATGGGTAATAGACTAAGAGTTAGGGCCTTGGGAAGGCATCTATCTGCCTTTTTGTCACCCTGATGGTCCCTGACTGTCAGAGATATACAGAGCAGTGGTTAGCACACAAACCAGCAACATCAAGACATTCTGTTACCTAGCAGGAATCTAATTCAAGTATTTTTCTTCCTTAAGCATCTGCAAAGCCAGTATCTGGAATTTCCTTGCCAGATGATACGCTTCTCACATCCCTTTACAACTCCGAACTGATTTTACGTGAAAAAGAAATGCATTTTTTTCTTAAAAGGCACTTACAGCTGTATTCGTCCTCTTGTATTGATGAATTCCCAAAAGAACTTTTTCTAGGATTGGAAAAACCACATCTTGCAGAGAGAGTCCTATATGACACAATAGCCAAGGTAAGTTTTTAAAACATTAAATCTCTATGGTATTTAAAACTTCTTAGAATTCGTCCTCACAAGTCTGAAGGAAGTGCATGAACCCCTGTATTGGCACAGAGATCTCCATTTCCCTCAGAGTTTTAGGGAATGCTCATTTTTGTTTTACTATTTAGGCAGGAGAAACATACAGCCTAGATTTTCAGGACATTTCACATTTCAAATGTTCTGTCTTCTCGTTTTCATAAACCTTGAATTTCAGACTTTTCTACATTCCTGCACAAAACGTCTCTCAGGCAGCCATTTTACCAAGAAGTGACACAAATTTCAATATCACCCCTCTCTAGTCAAAGTTTCTAATTTATACTTCATTTATGTACCTTTGTTTTAAATATATAATAAAAATTCAGGGTGTGTACTTTTTACAGTTGTGAATGCAAATAGAAAATAGAGGTAGAAATTTTAAATAAGGTAAAAGTTAGAAGATTTTTTTACCTTTGGAAAGTTATTAAATTAGCTCGGTGGTAGATCACCACTAGTATGCATGAGACCCTGGGTTCAATCCCCAGTACCACAAAAGCAAAACAAAAACAACCAACCTGTTGAAAAGATATAAAAAGGGGAAAATGAGTGAAGTTTTTTTAATTGACACACCTAGGGTCTTAAATAATAGTGATTTGAATATTTGAATAAGCAATCAAAATTGCTGGAATATCAGATGCTAAAAAAGTAAAGGGTTTTGTTTAAAAATAGGAATATGTGCCTAAAATTTAGTACTCAACAAACATAATACAATACACCAGAGCAACTCGTAGTTGATATAAACAAAGGATGGAGAAGACATAGTCCCTGTACATAGTCTTCATATGGGAGAAGAGAAAGACATAAAATTAGACCAAAAGAATTAAGTTATTTCAGAGATGCTTTGGTTTTTTTTTAGGAAAAAAGTGTCAGAAAGAATGTGAAAATTGAAACATGTTAGTATATAGGGGGCAAAGAATAGAGGAAAAGGATTCATCTAAGAAAGAGATGATAGAGAAATGAAGCTTGTGATCACAATGGAAAGGAAAAGATCGCTATAAAAGACAATTGTTTCAGTAAAGTTGGAAACCACCTCCACAACAGTTTGATGAGCCTTTGGATATGGAAAGCAAATAAGATGGACTGGCAGAAATTATTCTGCCATTAGAACTTCTGCTCACTGGAACATGGCGACACCATCAGTAGCTCTGAGGGAGGCAGGATGACCAGCAAAGTTCTACAAAGTTCTGCTTTGTAGACTCAGTTTGAGATTCAAGCAGAAAAACCCAAGTGGACATGACATGTCCATTACATATTTGTAAAATGAACAAATTGATTTACTTTTGCAGAATACTTTCAAAAGCAGAAAAATTCTTCTTTATTTTGAACTCTTTCTACGTCAACTTTCACCATCTAGCTCTTTTATTAAAAAAAAAACATGTTTTTAGTTGTCCATGGACCTTTATTTAATTTATTTATTTATATGTGGTGCTGAGACTCAAACCCAGTGCCTCATACATGTTAGACAAGTGCTATACCACTGAGCCACAACCCCAGCCCCCACCTAACTCTTTATGTTTACAATTATAGACTTTCCTATACCAGACATGTCTATGTTTCTGATGCAAACTGTCCCAGAGCAGTGATCTGAAAAATTTGGTTCATTCCAGAGTGACAGCCTTCGTTCATCTTATTCTACTACAATATAGCAACCTTATGTTTTGGGTAGATAATAATAAAAAGTTTTAAAAATCATTCTTTTGGTCATTCCTGCCCTTCTACTCAAGAGAGTCAGATGATTTAGTTAATAAGTTGTGAGTTGAAGAAAGTTGTGGTAAAACTCTTTAAGGAATTTTTAAGAATTCAGTTAAAGAAATGATTCCCAAGGGATTATGGAGTTGTCCCCAGAGCAATGTCTTGGGATCACATGGGAAGATTTTCCAAAGGACTTTCCTGTCCTTCCTGGATTCTAGACTTTTGTGCCATGCTTGATACTCAGCACCCACCTTCTTGCCCAGATTCTAAATCATTTGACAAATAAGAGAAAAGAATAAGATGGATCAAGACTTAAAAATACCTACCTTATGGTCATGAAATTGACATTATAGGATGAAGTTTATATACTACGTGAATTCATTACTTCCAAGTAATGAATACCAAAGTAGGAAGATTTATCAATCCAGTCATATATTATTGGGTGATTATAGGCCACTTCATGTGGACACAGGCCCCTCAAAAATCTGTTGTATGAAGGAACAGAGAGTGTTCACTCCCAGTAAAGATTCACTTTTCCTAAATTACCAATCAAATAAGTATCCCCTAGGGAGAGGAGTGAGTGAGGAAGTAGACAGGCTGGGAATCTAATGTTAATGTCTCTACCCCCACCCCACCCCAAAGGAAGGAATCAGTGGATGTGGGATGAAATTGTTTCCATCTATGTAACACCAGATTCCCATTCTGAACCCACATCCCCTTCCCCAGGAACTGAGGTTCGCTTTGAGGATTGCTACGATATTTCCCAGACACCTCTGCTGTTTTAAAGTAGGGGACGGAGAATAGGGAAGGCTATGAAAGTAGTTTTAATGGATCTGTTCTTGTGGTTATTGAATAAAACTTTGGAAACTAATATGTGTGACTTCTTCATATGTGCTCTGAAAGGAGCTCTGCAAGGTATTTTAGCATTAAGGGCAACCTACTATTACCCAGTTCCCAAGGATGATGCTCCAAAGGTACGACTTTGAATATCTTGTAAATACATGAGACATTTCTAATGGCAACAGTGTTATCAAAGAGTTGTTCACCCTGTTTGCTCTTTTTTGATATAATTAGTGTAACACTCTCCCAGGATAATCAGCTCTAGAGATCACTGTCACTTGCCTGACAGGTGCGAGCTACCTAATCATGTGTTTGTTTCACTAGGGTAGACAGCTAACGAGCATAAAGCCTTTTTGGATTTTTTTTTATATGAATGCCAAGCTTGGCTGATTTTTATAATAACATTTTTGAGGCTTTAATCACTCAGGAGGCTATTTCAATCAAACTCTTCCCACAATTTGATACTTCAACCTGCTTTTCCTGCAAGAAGTAGATGCCTTTTCCAGAACAATCATTGCTATGTGTTGTGCTCAT